AAACACAAATCAGGTTACATACAAATGATCCAGTTGGGCATTCACTGACCGCAAACATAGCTTATTTAAAATATGTAAAACCAGTGTTAAAAACTTTATAATTAGCATGTTATGGTCTTGTTAACAAGCTAGGTCCCTTCACTGTTATGCATGTAAAAAAAAATATATATATATATTAAGAGCATATTATTATTACATTTTTGCATTTCTCTGAACAATCACACAGTATTAAGAAAGTTATTGCATGCAAATTTGTGTTGATTTAAAAAAAATTTCGGTTTACTTTACTTTACTATTTACTTTTACATCTGTAACCAAATATTGCAGTACTGTATCTCAAAGACTGAAAATTGTCTATATTTTGATGTATGAGTTATGCATGGGCTAATGAGTTTTTTCCCCCCCTAAAGGATCTGTATTTTTGGTGCAGTGATAGTTTGACTCGACTCCTGATGGAACAGTGGATGTTTAGTGACATATGGCTTACAATGTAACAACTAATGACAGCGGACTATCTGTGTGGGATATCTAATCTATTGGCAACACTACCACACTATCTATCCATACATCCATTTTCTCAACTGCTTATCCAGTTCAGGTTCGTGGGGGTGCTGGAGCCTACTGCAGCTGTCCTTGGGCAAGAGATGGAGTACACCTTGGATAGATTATCAATCCATCACAGACCTAACGCACAGAGACAGACAATCATTCGTGCTTACATCTACACCTATGGTACAGCTAATTTGGAATCACAAATGAATCTAAAATGCACTTCTTTGGACTGTGGAGGAAAGCTGGCATACCCGGAGAGAACCTGCACAGACGCAGAGGGAACATGGAAACTCCACAACAGAAAGGAGCTCAGCCAGCCAGGAGATTTAACCCGGAATCGTCACGCTGCGATACAACAGAATAAATGACTGCATACTGGTAGCGCTGCAAAACCTTTACTTGCTTTATGAGGTGAGTTAATGTCCCACCAGCTGAACTAGTCTGATCCTTTTTGAAGTTGTGACTTTTAAAACAGATGAGAAACAACTTGCTGGTGTTTCAAAATTTCTCAGGGAGGTGAAGTACTCATAACACTTTTTTTTTATAGCCAAGCCATTGTGAAGTAATCAGTATTGACCTTTAGCTTTATTCATTTCCCCAGTTTTCACAATAGACAAAAACCACATCACATGGACCTTGTCCTTGGGAGCTGGCTTGCTCGATTTACATTCTCGCAGGAACCTCCGTCAGGTGACATCGAGAAAAGTTCAGAACTGCAGTACTTGAAAACTTAAAAAATGTAAAAAATGAATAAATGTGCAGAGGGCCCAGCAACAGCAACAACCACTGCAGTGCCAACAGCAGGGTTTATTATGCTATCCTGTTTCACAACTTTCTTCCTCACTACCCTCACACGGTACTTGTATTTCTACTCTCTGAAGTCACCAATCACAACACATCCCTGGTATATAGCTAACTGCAGCTGAAGTGTGGAGCGACGAGGTCCCCAGTGAGCACAGGCAGGCCAGGGTGTAATCATGTCCACCCAGGGCCCCTGTGCTAACGCCTGCCTGTGCTGCTATCAGCGGGCACAGATAGAAGCTGACAGGGTTCAGAGTGAGAGCGACACGCAGCAGCGCCTCTGACCTGAGCGACGGGCGATACGGTCGTGACCGGTCATCAGTGTTTTGTTAGTGAGGAGCGACAGAGAGGGAAAACAAAAACAACGCCAATGCTGTTCACACAGTTGCTGACAGGATTTGCCTGAGAAACCTGTGAGTGCTTCACTCGGGTGTTTTAAAAGGATAATCACACCCTTTTCCTCTCTAATGTTACCAGTAAGTTACCTCATCAATCTACATGATAATAGTCATGTCTTTACTTTGTTTTTCCTACTGCCAGTAGTCATTTACAGCATTTCCCACAATGCCTTTCGACAGAACATGCCCGAACGTGTTGCATTTTAGCTGTGGGTCTTAGGTGAACAAAAGCATGTCTCCTTGCAGTCAGGAAAGCAAACGAGCAATTCAAAAATGTCTTAATGATGAAATGTCTTTATGAGCATAAACTGTAACTTCTTCATTGCCTTCTGTGACACGTTCCTCACCATGCAAATGATGAAATTCAGTGCAAATTAGTGAAGCATTCAGAGTCCTCAGTGTTCCCTGTAAAAAAGTATTGAAAGGCCCAGAATACACTGCTAATTTTGGGTATCATATCAGACAGTCTTATCCAGTTACATATGATAGTGTGACAGTTTCTGTTTACATTTGCAGTTACCCAATGGGACACATAAGGCTTAACAAACGCAATGAATGCATTTACTTTTAGAATAGAAAAGTAAATGGGGTCATAACAACCATCTGCCTCTCTTCATTGGCAGTGAGGCGGTGGAGAGGGTGAGCAGTTTTAAATTCTTGGGGGTAACTGTGACCGAGGACCTGTCCTGGGGCAACCATATCACCTCAGTTGTACGGAAGGCCCAACAGCGCCTCTACTACCTGAGGAGACTGCGGAGCGCACACATTCCCAGATCTCTGATGTTGAACTTCTACAACTGTGCCATCAGCAGCGTTCTGACGTATGGATTTCTAGTGTGGTTCCCCAGCTGCACCAAGGCCGATCAGCAAGCACTCCAGCGGGTGGTGAAAGAAGCTGGCAGAATTATTGGAACAAGTCTGCCAGAGATCAGTAATATCTTCCCCACTCACTGTCTGAGGAGGGTGCACAGTATCCTGCGGGACCAACATCACCCTGCGCGCCACCTTTTCCATCTGCTGCCCTCAGGGAGAAGGTACAGGTCTATACAGGCCAGAACATCCAGACTGGCCAACAGCCTGTATCCACAGGCTGTGAGGCTCCTGAACTCTCTGCCCCCTCTCACGGACAATAACCATATCCAACTTCTTAATAGCAATGAACTGGTCTGCATTGGTGCATCATATCTTTATTCTCTTCCCCTCCTGCCCCCCTCCTCTTTCTTAAATAGATAACTATCATATCTGATATCATATCTCACAGTACAATAATATTGAATGGGTTGCATTGTTGTATTTTGTCATGTTTCTCAGGTCTTTGTCTGAATTTCTACGAACATTATTGCTAAGGATTGTCTTATTGCATTGGAGTCACACTGGGTTAAATATGTACACTTGGGTTTTAAGGGGTATTTATTATTTTCTTCTTTTTTTTGGGTTGTATGGAAGCCCCAAACGCAATTTCATTGTTCTTGACAATGACAATAAATAAATAAATACTAATACTAAATACTAAATGAAATGTTTCTCGTTGCAAGGTTAGTAGCAAACAAGGTCGATTTCTGCTGATGTTAGAAAAAGTCTGAATAACCGAAGGAAATGTGCGCGCTGCCATTCAGAGCCAACTTTCTGAAAGCAGGAGTGCATACAAAATGTAGGTCACAGCTTAATAATTGCATTGAATATGACATTTTTAAAGAAAAAAAAAAGCACAATCCTAAGTTTTAGATGTCTAACTCCCCATGAAGCCCAGCACCAAATTAACTGCTGTGTGGGAGTAGTGTTGTGGAGCGCGATCTTTCTGCTACGGAAAATAAATTCTGCTGTCATATCAGACAACGGCACCAGACTCAGTGTTAGGTGTGAAAACACAAAAGCCTGGCTGCATCTGCCCCGTGAGCGCACGCGCACACCATTTACATACAGGACGACACACGCTCGCGCAGCAGACTCAACATACCTCTACTCGTACTCAACTCGCATGGGAGAAACATGTTGACCTCATTCTTTCATCGGGAGCCACATAATAATAGGATTGTTTAGAAGGTGCATTTGACAAAAAAAGGGTCTAAATCCAATTAAGTGACAAAAACTAAAGACAACCTATAAAAATAAACATCCACAGCATGATTATATTTCATTTTGAGGTGGAAGAGTGGAAGAACTGTGACAAGGGAGGGACAAAAACCTTATCCAACTACAGCATATAGTAAATAACAAGATTATTAAATGGTATTAACTATAAGTTGATTTCAGTAGGGTTCTTCTTATTCTCTCCGGAGCCTATTTGACTCTCTGAACTAACTGTAACAAATCCATTGACACCTACAGGGACTGATGAACCCACACAGTCGCAGCCCAGCGCACAGTGCCTGCACACTGGAACGCCGAAGCGGAGCTAACAAATACAGGACATTAACCAATCTGATCTGGATGAGTTTTATAATCTCATGCTATGTCAGCAGGTGAGCATAGAGCATACAGTACAGTGTATCTGCACAGTACATTGGCCTAGAGCAAAGGAACACCAATAACATGACAGCTCCACGCAGCCTCAGCTAACCTCTCCCATGTATCAATCAGCAGCTCACTGTGGTGACCTCATATCTGGATCATCTGTGCAGCAGCTCTGAGACATCAGGCTTTCCATTGTGCTGCTCTTCCTAAACAGCTTGTGCAGCTTCTTAATTAAAAACACGGTGACTCCTCTGCAGATCTGTGCTTTCAACAGTCCCGCAGCTTTTTTTGTTTTTTTTCAGCCACTCTTTCTTGAAAGCTCTCTGCAGAGCCTCTCTTGCACTGAATCCTGGGTATTCCCGGTTGGGTGTCTCGCAAAGGTTGCAGCATCCAGTGGACACCGAGCGGCACTAGACAGCAGCTTGGCAGATCACTGACACTATTTTGTTTTGCTCTGACAGGAAGACAGACGCGTCTTCGCAGAGCTGAGGGGTAGGAAGGATCAGCACTGTTGTCCTGTTAGTAAACACTTAAGTGAGACATTAGAACGTCTGCAGGAACTTAATATGCTGGGTCAGAGGCATGGGGGCAAGAAATAGGGGTGAGACCTGGAATACCATAATAGGCATGGAGTGTTGCTGCCTTAAAGATGCATAACATCTCCAAGCAGGCCGAGATCTATCCTGAAACTACAGGGCCCATGAGTCCAGCATATATTTGTGAAAAACAACCCCCAACAGCCACACTTAATTATGGAAATTACTCTTTTTTTCCCCAGCACATGATTTCACCAACCTTTTCACTCTTATGATCTGATCCCTCATCGGCTTTATGTCCTGGAAGCTTTGCTGGTTGACAAGGCTGTAGACCAATATGAATCCTTGACCGTTTTTGATGTACAGGTCGCGCATTGAGGCGAACTGTTCGGTCCCAGCGGTGTCAAGGATCTCCAGCACCGAGGGCGAGGAGTCCACCTCGATCTCCTTGCGGTAAAAATCCTCTATGGTGGGGTCGTACTTTTCAATGAACGTCCCGGTCACAAACTGCACAGTGAGGGCGGATTTCCCGACCCCACCGCTGCCCAGGACCACCACTTTATACTCGCGCATCGTGGGATTTAAATCAAGTCGTAAGGTATCAATCTCCGCGCGTCATTGAAATCAACGCAAAATGCTCCAGTGCGAATCACGCTCACCATTCGTGTCCCATTCTGAACGGGCTGTCAATAACACAGTCTTGTTCGCTGCTGCTCAGCTATGGCAGAGCACAAAGACTCGGCACCTCAAGATGGATTTCATTGTAGATATTCCCCCCATGCAGGCCAGACACTGACAGTTATACGAGCATCCGAGGACTGAAAGTGTCCGAAAAATGCGCAAAGGGAGAAAAAGAAGCTCGCCCGATGATGTTGAACGTGCGGGTGTTCATCTGCTTAGCTCACCCCTCTCTGTACTTCATAAAAAAACAAACTTGCTCCATCGAGGACGCTGGGAAAACGCTGGCTTAGCCTCGGAATGAACTGCAGGCACGATTTTTTAAGCTGTAGACCGCCTTAGAGAAACTCTCCCAAATTAAAATTCCCTGACTTTAAGTTAAAGAACTTGCGTCTCTTTGTTTCTGTTTCACCATCTCTGACATGTCTCCGCTTCTCCCCCGCTCTCCAGTGCGATTCCAGCTGCCATACTCTCGGGTGGAGACCCGCGGCCGCTGCGTTACCAGCCGGTCCCCACTCGGCTCCCGTACCGAGGCACCAAAAAAAAAAGAAAAGAAGAAAAAAGGAAAAGCCTGTGGATCCTCCTTCGTCAGATGGATACGCGAACAGCCCAATGGGCGCTTCCGCTTTCTGTACACCTCACATGTGCCTGAATGGCAGCCTCACGGAGGCAGCCAGTGAGATTCGTCGCTGACATTTCCGTTCATGTGTTAAAATTCCCATCATTCGGTTGCCCCAGTGACATCCAAAGAGAGCTCATCCAATCACGGAGGCGGCTCGGGGATGTGTATCCAAGAGGAGGTGAAACGCACCGGATGCTGTTGCTATGGTAACGCTGCATTAAAAAAAAATAAAAAATTTTAGCTGCGATCCGACTCGAGAGTGAAAAGTCACTCACCTTGTAAAAAAAAATAAAAATAAACCTTTATTATTCTTTGATAATGAGCAATACAGGCTATGTAACACACTCCAATTGAAACCGCCAGGTAAGTCTTTTTAATTGACTACTTTAGCTTTCACTAATAGTGATAAATACAATTTCACAGGACAGCTGTTTGAACAAATTGTAACACAAAAACATGAAAACATGCTCACTGAGGATGACACGTGGTTTCTACTGCTGATGCATTGCAAAATTAAACACAGCTCACAGGATGGCATTTACACGACATTCATATATTTATTTATGTATATTTAATATCAGATTGTACACAATTTAGAATTTACAGGAACAAAAAATATCCACAAGAAATGTTTAATTATACACAATTACTTTTGGGGAAAATGTTTGCATTCAGACCAGGATGGATCCAAATAGCTGTTGCGTGACATCTTAACGAGAAGCTTCAGTGTTTAAATATGACAGGTTGCAATAAAATGCTAGCCAACCCCACAAGCCAATCAATATCAGCTATTTCAGGTGTCGTTACAATGTAATAATGTCCTCATGTTAGAAATGTGTGTATCTTAATTTAAGAGAAAGGTTCAGTGAAGTTTATTCTATTTATTAGACGACATAGAAATCATAATTAGTGAACAAATACAGACTCAGTAATACACCAAAGGTAAGGCAAAGTTCACACAAAGCCTGTCTTCTCAGTTGTCTGACTGTAGAAAAAGTGCTTATGAGAAGTGTTTCCATCAGTCAGTCAGACCAAACATTCTTACTGTTCACATCTTTTTGACTGGGCGAGATCTCAAACAACCTCTGTGTGCAGGTGGATCCATGACATTCAAACGTTTTGCCATAACATAACACAAACATTCAAAAACATGCCTTTAAGTAAAATAAATAAGTGGGGAAATATTGTATGTCTAATAGCAGTCTAAACTTTTAAAGCAATTATATTTTGAAAGCCAAATACATTTTTAAGTTTGGTGCTCAACATGCAGAGGGAAGCCTTAACAAACACGAAACTAACATTTCAAAAGTTCTCTTTTATGCACTGTTTTACCCACAGTGTTTCACCATATAATAATAAAGTTAAATATCCAAGTTTCTTCCAAGTAATCTAATTACTGTGAGGAGATACAGCTAATCTACCACCGACCAAAATACAGTTTTCATCACTGCAACTTGGGATTGCCCTCAGCAGCAAATCAGACAATCAGACTAACTACTGTTACACCATTATGAAAATTACTTCTTTTCTTTTTTGGAAAACATGTCCTGTACGATGCACTTTTGTACATAAAAATCAATCCTATGGCCTTGGTCATACAAAGGCTTGTTGTCCCTTACAGGCAGCAAAAAGGATGAATTGCTTTAAGTTTCTCCTTTGTCCAACATCAATCCCTGGACACAAGACCGCTTTTAATAGGCTAACAGATCAAGGTCCTTTGAGAAACCCTCAGCACACCTAAAGTAATTTTAATAAATTGCATTCATCACAAAATAAAAGAATACATGTTAAAACTATTTTGAACTAATATTACACCAGTAAAATTATGCTCGTAAATTCTATTGACATGTAAAACATCACAAGGAAAATATATAATAAAAAAGTGAAGAAATGCAAAAGATTCAATGAAAGGTTTCTATTTGTACACCTTGTTTGCAAAATAGATAACTAAAATTCTAATAAAAGAAAGAAACAATATTTCTCTTAATCAGACACAATGCCCACCCTGTCTGCTGCTAAATAGTAGACAGCAATGAGTAACTGCATCATGCCGCGTCAATCTCTCATGACTACATGTCACCAAATGTTTGCCTCCTTCTACTTTACTACAAAAGTATTTTGCCCTTTTTGCTAATGCTTGTCGAAAAATGAAAGAAAATCAAATTAAATTGAAAATTACATTGAATAACATACACATTAAAGCATCAGTGAAAACAAACTGTAAGCCTAATTAACAGGTCCACACACAATACCACTGCATTTACATGGTATTGCAAAAACACGTAGATTTAATCCTAATGTATATGTCTTAAGTGGAATAGATTTTCTGAGTGTTTTTCCACACAAACCTTTTCAAATATACTTAATCATTGCATGCACAACTGTTTAGGCACTTGTAACCTTCGATTAATACAGTACTGACAAGTGACTGCAACATTAAGACTAACAGTTGAGACACTACTCAACACGCAACCCTCACAGGATCACAAGAGCTTTAGTTTGAATATGAGCAGCAGTAACTTCATACTCTTACTGAGCTGACTTTCATGGCTGTGGAGGCTATATCAACTTGAACAAGTGAAAAGTATTTACAGATCCATCAGTGAGTCAGCAATTGTCTTGAGCAATAATGCACATTTACTAAAGAGGTGTTAAATTAGAAAAACAAAATTGCTTTGAACGGATAAAACATTTCATTTCTCTCAGAAAAGACAGAAAACAATCTGTATATGTAATGCAAAGGCACACCAGGAGGTGGAGCACTGATCCATTACTCTGGGTGAAGTATAGAGGGACTCAGAGCATTTTTAAAGGGACATCCATAAACCTGCTGTTAGATTACATTTTTTTTATATACACAATTTTTTGTTAAGTTTAAAGTTAAATTAAGTGCTTTTCTCTTTGATTAAAAGTTAAATCTGGCACTAGATGAGCAATCATTATCATCAAAAACAAAACTTTCTTAGTTTAAATAACACATTCAATAAAGAATATGATGATGATAAAACTGCAATATAATCTACAATATAGGACGCCTTTACACCTGACATTAACAGGTACTGTCTACAGACTGAGAACTGATTAAAATATTTACATTATTTAAAACATCTCTGTTGTTTAGTTTTATGCCACTACTGCCAGTTTACTTCTCTGTAGCATCTATTGTATTTAAGTTTGATTGGTGGCTAAATGCACTCATAACCCTATCAGAATTAGTTTAGGAAACAAATAAATAATGCACATTGATCGTTGAAGGTGCATGTTAGCAGGTGCAAAGGCGTGTACAATAACAATCTCTCTGACACCTATTACAGTATAATGTAGAGGTTCATTATAACTGCCTGTAATGTATCATCATCATCATCATCATAATGTCAGATAAAGTCGGCGATGTTATCCACATGCAGCCTCTTGTATTTTGTGTGTATTGTTAACAGAATATTTACAGAATGGCTGCCCGGGACCCTTAACAGCAGCAACACGGCACTGGCTTCTGTTTCTGGCGGTTACTTGAGGATGATCTGTTTCGGAGGCAAAGACAAGTCACTGAGTAGTTTCACACAACAGGTATACTTTACAATCGCCTTTGTTACAAGACAAAGATTATTAAGGAACTCACTTCTCACTCTTAAGTGATATGAAAATACAAAGTTTAAGTGAAATGAACTTTATTCTCTTGATACATCGTTTTGTAAAAATGCGGCTTGACCTTGAAGCTAATTTAAGGTTAAAAGTTTTATTGATTTGCAAAAGTGATTTGGAACTGAAATTATAAGTTTTGATATTAAAAAATGTGTTTAAACAATCAAATGAATTATTTTACACATTGAATAAATTGTTTTATGCATTTTTAAAAACAGTTTTAACTATTTATCAGCTTCAAACCCTTTTTTTTTTCCAGTGTCAGACTTTTGACCGTGATTTTGTGTTGTGGCTGTGTATCAAAGGGGAGGGGTGCGTGTAGACTAGTGATTGAAAGCTCCTGTGTCACGTTGGTTGCAAGTTTAAAATGAGCATTTTGGCTGAAGATGGTCACTGCTCCTTCACGGGATGCTGCCGGCACCAGCCACAGTTTCAGATTGTGCTATAATAGACTATATTGATGGGTCAATATTTGAAACATATTGATATACATACATGTGGGGAAAAAATTTACCCCTACAACAAGGAATACTGTTATCTGATTGGGTGGTAGGTTGCAAAAAAGCTATATTGAGATTAGAATCTCGCCCACCTTATTTAAACCTAATGTAAAAGAGTTCATAGCACCTGCAATATCAATATGTTACAAACATTCACTCATCAATATAGTCAATCATAGGATAATCCAGGAAACCATGTTTCTTACCTGTTGGCTGGTGCCAGCAGCATCCTGTAAAGGAGCGATGACCATCTTCCATCAAAATGCTCATTTTAAACTTGTAACAAATGTGACACAGAAGCTGTCAATCATCAGTCTACACCCACCTCTCCCCCTTCATACATGCCCACAACACAAAACCAGGGTTAAAAATCGGAAAATGATCAAATCAGATGTAAAATAAAAAAATAAACGTAAACTAACAAAAAAAAAAAAAAAAAACAAATTTATTCAAAATAAAATCATTCTTTTGTTTTTTTTAAACAGTTTTTTTTTTACATTTTAAATATCAAAACTTAGAATTTCAGTTTCAAAAGACTTTTCAAATGAATAAAACTTCTGACTCTGACTTAGCCCCACACTTTTATGCCAGTGGTCATGACAAAGTTTAAATACTAACTTATCCGTATGTCCATATGACTTCATTCATTAAACATTAAAAAGACAACAGTAATCAAAGTAAAGAATACCAAATACTTTAGATTTACTCTCTCAATCCTAATATTAAATGTTTCAAACTAGCCAATTGAGGAAATGTGAATAATATTTTTTATTACACGAATAATAAAAATCTTATATTAAGACGTTGCACACAGAAAGTCAGCATAACCAATATCAAGAACTGTATGGTTAAGTCCTATATACTGTAGCTTGTGTTGGAAAAGACACTGACATCAACCAAAGCATAAAACATGCAATA